ATGGACGGGTCAGTATCTATAAAGTCTGTATTGGGGGCGGGGGGGGGTCCATGGTCTCTAGATCCTCCCACAATTCCCTCTTGTCTCCTGTCTCCAGTTTCTCTGCTGCCCCCCAGTGACCATCCTGGCCCCTGCACTTCCCCACCGCCAGCTCTCTGACCCTGTCATGTTCCTATTTAGCAAATGCTCCAATCCCCTTAGGTCAGGCCAGCCTCAGCAAAACATAGGGAGAATTAGCGGGGATTTAGAGGGACATGTGACAGACTGGCATGGGGAAGTACAGCTACCAGGATATAATGAACCCCTCTCCTGCTTCTCAAAGAGCCCTCTGGTAGCAATATACACAGAAGGACACACTGAGACCACACAAGGAGACTGAGGGGCAGAGAAATGGCAAGACACAGGGGGAGAGAGAGGGGAGAGATGGGGAGGCGAAAGAAGGGGAAACTGAGGCACTGGAGTTTCTTGCTCTCAAAAGCAGAAGAGGCAGCCCCCCTCCCAGCACTTCCCACGTGACAGAGCTGTCCTAGGTGCTCTGATTTCCTTATGAAAAAGGTCCTGGAAAGGCAACCAGCCTAATTGCTTGCCTACAGGACGTCACACCAAACACCAGAGCATTCAGGTGCCTTTCCGGGGACACAGCAAGCATCCGAGCACCAGGCTGCCCAGCTGGAGAGCACAGCCCTTAACCTCCCGTGCCAACAGACGGGGCCAAGTCCATCACCTTCCTGGACTATTCGGAATAGGACATGTGGACAGGTGGACATCCATGAGACTCTGGGTAACAACCACACCCTCTCCACATGTGTGGCTGTGGATCACATGGAATGTGCCACTTACACGCTCACCACGGAGCTGGATTTACGGGGAGCGCTGAGGAAATGGGGGGGGGGTCTCATTCTTGGGCCATCAGACTAGCCCCCATCTGCACATCTCTCCCGGTTTCGCCCCCCTCTCTGCCCTGCACAGACCCTGGCTCTTCCCTCTTCTTTGCTCCGTCCCCCACCCCCTCAGCCCCTGGGCTTCCCCCCAGCAGGTTTCCTTGGCCTTGACCTGACATACCACCTGTCCCCACACTCTTGGGTCAAGTCAGCATCGGCAGAATGTCAGCCAGGTCAGAGGAGAGGTGACGGGGACATGGGGAAGTGTCGGCAGAGAATGGTGAAAGCCTTCTCAAGGGACTGCTGGCATCTGCTCACACTTCCTCGGTGGCTGGGAGACTTCCATTACAGCAGTGGGTGCCCACAGGGAGGCGTCTGGGATCCCCTCCCCGCCACAAGTCACAGAGAGTCAAGATGCTCTCTGGCGAAACTGCAAAATCTCAATCATCCGCAATGACCAGGCATTGTGACATTGTGACACGACCCTGTGCACAGATAGAGTTGTTTGCATTCATGCTTTGAATCAAAAAATTAAGTCGGAGCGCTTGGGGGGCTCAGTCAGTTAAGCATCCGACTTCGGCTCAGGTCATGATCTCCCAGCTTGTAGTTTGAGTCCCGCGTTCGGCTCTGTGCTGACAGCGCGGAGCCCGGAGCCTGCTTCAGATTCTGTGTCTCCCTCTCTCTCTCTCTGCCCCTCCCCTGCTCACATTCTCTCTCTCAAAAAATTAATAAACATTTTTTAAAAATTAAAAAAAAAGAAAAGAAAAAAGACATTCAGCAAAACTAAGGAAGATTGAATAAGTTAAGGCCTTTAGTTAATAATCGTGCATCGATTTTGGTTTATTCACTGTAACAGACGCACCTGCTAATGGAAAATGTTAATAAGAGGCACCTGGATGCTGACTATAAAGCTTCTCAATTTTTCTGTAAATTTGTAGTCTTTCCCCGCCCCCCTCCTTTCCACACCTTCCCCTCCCTCTGTTTCTCCCCCTCTCTGGTGGGAGCACCCCTCCACGCTTCTCTTGGGTGGGGGGGGGGGGCTTCTCGCCCTTTCCTCTGCTGCCCCCCTGTGGCCGTCCCCACCAGCCAGCTCTCTGACCCTGTCCTGGTCCCATTCAGCAAACGCTCCAATGCTCTTAGGCCGGGCCAGCCTCAGCTGAGCTGAGAGAGAATTAGATCGGGTGGGAGGGAGGGCGGGGGCGGAGGGACACGTGACGGGCTGTGGGGGAGGGTGCACAGCTCTAACGGGGCGCACAGGGACGGGGGCTGCCCCGGCGACAGAACAAAAGCCGCTCCCGCTTATCTGAAGACCCTGGTAGGGACAGAAATGCGCGCTGAGGAATCAGATGCAGACGGCGGCGAGACCCAGTGCAGAGGCATCTCAAGGTTAGAGGCAAGGAAAGGTTAGAGCGAGTCCTCCAGCCGTACAGGGGTGAGCAGTGCTGGGCGTCTTGACCTCTTGAAGGCCTGCAGATTCTGGGTTTTTTTCTTTAAGTTTATGTATTTATTTTGAAGGGGGGAGGGGGAGAGAGAGAGAGAGGGAGAGAGAATTCCAGGCAGGCTCCGCACTGTGGGCGCAGACCCAGACGCCGGGCTTGAACTCGTGAACCATGAGATCATGACCCCAGCCTATCGAGAATCCGACGCTTAACCAACTGAACCACCCAGGAGCCCTAGGCCTGCAGATTTTCTTACCTCTCATCTATTTTATTTTATTTTATTTTATTTTATTTTATTTTATTTTATTTTATTCGTTCATTCATTCATTCGCTGTTAAAGAGAGAGAGGGGCGCGCCTGGGTGGCTCAGTCGGTTGAGCGTCCGACTTCAGCTCAGGTCATGATCTCGCGGTTCGTGGGTTCGAGCCCACGGCAAACTGAAAAATGTTGATTCACTCGACTATTCCAAATCTCAGTGACCGGAAGTGATTCCACCGGGATGCTCTGGTTACCCGGAGTGATGGGGTGCGGTTCTCAAGACGACCACACGGTGTCGCTGTTGGACAAGAATTCACTGTGTCTCCCGGTTCAGGAGGTGAGAGGGACGGTCTCGCTGCCTTTTTTCTTGAAGGTGTGAATTGTCCCAGTTAAGCAAAAATAGGACCAAGGAAGTTTCTTTTTCTCTTCCATGCCTACGACCAAATCAAAATAAAGGACCGTGATAGATATTTCTAGTGCTCCCCAATTCCTCCCGCTCACCTCCCCTTCCTGAATACAGGAAGACCTCGATCCCCAGCCCACCTCCGCAGGTGGGCGGGGCCGTGTCCCTGTTCTGGCCAATGGGCTGCGAGTAGAGGCGATGAGCGTCACTTCCTTGCTGAAGCCTTTAAGAGCCAGTGCAGGCTTCTCTGCGGTCTCCCGCAGCCAGGGGGACTGAGGATGCGGTGGGTCCTATTGCAGCCACAGGAGACTCCAGGAATTTCGATCTGCAACTGCTCAATGAGGTAACCGTTAGCACACGCCACGCTTATTTGATTGCACTTTTTTTTTATGTTTTATTTATTTTTGAGAGAGAGACAGCATGAGCAGGGGAGGGCCAGAGAGAGAGGGAGACACAGATAATCCGAAGACAGGCTCCAGGCTCTGAGCTGTCAGCACAGAGCCCGGGGCGGGGCTCGAACCCAGGAACCGTGAGATCATGACCTGAGCTGAAATCGTATGCTTAACCTACTGAGCCACCCAGGCGCCCCGATTGCACGTTTAAATAGACCAAAATAAACCATTCAGCTCATCAGTCACGCTCACATTTCAAGTGCTCAGTGACACCACGTGGCCTAGTGTTGGACAGAAGAAGTCCGTCATCACAGAAAATCCCGCCGGGCAGTGCTGTGCTAGCCTGGTCGAATGGGTGCGTGGAGGGTAGTTGCCCCGAGGGGCATTTGCATGCAGTGTGTTAATCCCCTGAGATGTGGGTTAGGTTTTGTGTGCTTGTTTCCACTGCCGTGTATCCCATCCTAGGCCTGACCCGTCAGATGTCTTGCTGAAAGGTCTTGAGTTTTGTGTCTTTGAAATTGTCAGTTGGCAACACAACACTAAGGCAAATGGAGAACTGGGAGCTGCGGATGGCGAGAGCGCCGGCAGACGGGCTGCGATCAGACTCCAGCAAGTCTCAGAGTTGTTTTTACTGGGGCGCTTGAGTGGCTCAGTCACTTGAACATCCGACTTCAGCTCAGGTCATGATCTCGTGGCTCCTGAGTTCGAGCCCCGCGGTGGGCTCTGTGCTGACAGCTCAGAGCCTTGAACCTGCTTCAATTCTGTGTCTCCCTCTCCCTCTGCCCCTTCCCTGCTCACGCTCTGTCTCCCTCTCCCTCTCTCTCTCTCTCTCAAAAATAAATATTAAAAAAATTTTAAATTGTTTTACTAAGAAAAGTGTCAGAGTCGTTAGAAATGAAGACATGCAGGGGCACCTGGGTGGCTCATTCGGTTAAGCATCCAACTTTGGCTCAGGTCATGATCTCACGGTTCATGGATTCGAGCCCGCGTCGGGCTCCGTGCTGACTGCCAGCTCAGAGCCTGGAGCCTGTTTCAGATTCTGTGTCTCCCTCTCTCTCTGACCCTCCCCTGCTCACGCTGTCTCTCTCACTCTCTCTCCCTCTCTCAGAAATACATAAAACATTAAAAAAAATTTTTTTTTTAAAGATTAAGTTACAATGAGGCTGTGTCGAGTGGGGCAGGGGAGGGGGCAGCACCTAACCCAGTCTGACTGCTGTCCTTCCAGAAGGAGGAAATCTGGACAAACGGGTCACCTGTGTCCTGCAGAGGCCACATGAGGGAGGCCACAGCGAGGTTGCCATCTAGAAGCCAAGCAGGTGCCTCCCAACAAGCCAAACCGGCCTCACCTTGACCTTGGACTCCCCATTCCTGTGGGCTGAACCAGGGTCTGGTATTTTGTCAGGGGCCACAGCAGAATGTACTGGGACCAATCCCGGAGCCTGGGCCTCGTTTAAACCAACATCACTGCTGCTCACTGATCTCTCCTCGCTCAGCCTCAGAGCTCGGCCTCATGAAGAGCTTCACGACCAGCAAGGTGCCCAGCACAGGACCGCTCAGTACATGGTGGCCAGTTTCCTGGGCTGGGGGTGGGGGGCGGTTCCGGGATACAACAGACACCTGTAGACACGTTTTGTGAAACTCATCCAATGTTTATTGAACAGGAAACTGTCGTCCACACTAACGAAACCCACAACACCCTCACCGAGATCCCTTTCCCGGCCACCTCAAGAAGGAAGCCGGGAGCAGGAGAACCCAGGGGACAGGGGGGTGTGAGGGGGGAGGGGGCAAGGCAGGTGGGTGCAGAGCTACACGCACGCGCGCACACACACACAACACACGCACACAGGCAAGGACCAGGGGCGTCAGTCTCTGCCCCCACGCAGCGGCCGCAGAGACATCAGGGAAGGACCAGGCGTCCACCAGACATTTCAGTCCTTCCCGTCATGAAGCATCGGCTGCGAGGGGCTGGGCCAAGGTCACTGGGCTGTGCGGAGAAGAGACGGGGAGAGGTCAGACTGCAGGGAACAAGGGCGGGGGGGGGGGGGGGGGCCCATGATGGGGAAAGGGGGCGCCTGGAGGGCTCAGTCGGCTAAACATCCGACTCATGGTTCTGGCTCAGGTCATGAGCTCACGGTTCTGGGGTTCGAGCCCCGCACTGCACTCTGCACTAGCCATCATGGAGCCGGCTTGAGATTCTCTGTCCCTGCCCCGCTCTCAGGGAAACTGAGGCACAAGGACAAGGGGATAACATGAAGGAAGAATGGTAACCCGACAGGCAAGAGGGCCAGGACCTCCTTCCCAATCGAGTCTGTCGTGACGGAAATGAGGTTGGGGTGGGGGGGAGGGCGCCAGATGTGGCTGCTAGAATACCAATCACGTGCACCCCATGGGGAACTCGGGTTTCTGGAGAAGCCACTGACGGAACAGGTTTCTGGGACAGCCGTGAGCCCCAAAAGGACCCCTTCACTGTCACCGACCGGCTGTGCAGGCCTCGCCAGGGCCCCAGCTCCTGAGGGTGGCCCTCGGCACTGGGAGTGAATGAGGGGGCTGCCTGGTTAGGGTCTTGACTCCAGGCCCCGGGGCCCCAGGGACTAGTCTATGCTAACAGCGTGATTCACGGTGGCGCCTTGGGCGGGCGGTAGTAGCTCCTGACTTCTGGAGGGGCCAGAGGCCAAGGTCGGCCTTGGAGGGTGAGCTTCCCTGTGGCAATTCTCTTGACGGTGAGGGGACACCGGACCCCAGAGACCTGCCCCTGCCCCTCCCTTCGCTGCCTTTCGCTGTCATGAACCACACCCTGGCTGTGTTCTGAGTCCTTGTGGCGAATCTCACACCGAGGGTGGTCTCGGGGACCCCGGAAACGGTACTCACAACCCATGCGAACGAGAACCACTGCGCCCTCTTCCTTCCTTCTCTTACAGAAACCCACTTTCGCTCATGCGGATGAAATCATCTGTTTGGTGGACCCCCCTCTAGAATCCCAGGAAACCTAATGCTGATTTAAGTAACCAGTTCAGAGGCAGCAAATGGTGTATTCATGCAAGAGATGGGCTCTATTTCGGCCTTTAGGAATTCGAATCCCCACCCCCCGGGCCACATGGGCAAAAGTTATCAGGTTCATGCAGCCTCAGAATTCACAGTTCCTCATTTTCTCTTTTTTTACTGGGGGAGACTCACTACTCATTTCAGACCTGCACGGGGGGGGGGGGGGGGGGGGGGGNATCCACTCGGCATGTTCAAGTTCACACTGAAACGGGACCTCCCTCTGCTCTAACAAAGGACTTAAAGAATCCTAACTTGCAGGGGGCGCCTGGGGGGGCTCAGTCAGTTAAGCCTTTGACTCTGGATTTCAGCTCAGTTCATGAGCTCACGGTTTTAAGTTCGAGCCCCGTGTCTGGCTCTATGCTGATAGCACGGAGCCTGCTTCGGGTTCTCTTTCTCCCTCTCTGCCCCTCCCCTGCTCATGCTTGCTCTTTCTTTAGAAATAAATAAATATGGGGCCCCTGGGTGGCTCAGCCAGGTAAGCCTCCGACTTCAGCTCAGGTCATCATCTCACGGTTTGTGAGTTTGAGTGCTGCATCAGCCTCTGTGCTGTCTCTCAAAATATAAATAAATGTTAAAAAAAATTTTTTTAAGTGGTGCCTGGGTGGCTCAGTCCGACTGAGCATCTGACTTCGGCTCAGGTCTGATCTCACCATTTGTGAGTTCAAGCCCCGCATCAGACTCTATGCTGACAGCTCAGAACCTGAAGCCTATTTCAAATTCTGTGTCTCCCTCTCTCTCCCTGCCCCTCCCCGGCTCACGCTCAGTCTCTCTCAAAAATAAAGATTAAAAAATCTTTTTCTTAAATAAACTTCAAAAAAACAAGAAAGAGGAAAGGAGGGAGGGAGGAAAAGAGAAAAGAGAAAAGGAGAAGAGGAGAGAAGAGAAGAGAACAAACTGGAGTTTGAAGCACTTGAGAACCACTTTTCTGGAGCAAGGCACCCTGGGGACGGGAACTTGGGTCTGTAGGACACTGGGATGAAAGAGTCCATTCCAGAACAACAGAAAAAAGGGGGGAGAGACTGGCGCTCAGTCAGAGAACGTTTGGGGCTCATCTGGGACAGGGTAGCTCGGAAACGGGACTGAAGAGCAGCTCTGGATCCAGAGCGCAATACGGAAACCGCTACTCATTCAGGAATGTAAACTGGGCAGGGACCCGGCCTTGGGTTCAAACTGGCTGTCAATTCCAGGCCCCGGGCATCAGTCCCAGAGTGTAGCAGCCCAGCCCCCTCACCTCTGCCTTCGGGGCACATTAGCCCTGCGCCAAGGCGGCTTTGATGGCGGCCACCAGCCTCAGAAACTTGCTCTCCGTGTCCACGTAACCATCGCCTCTCTGGGGCCGTGGGAAGAAGAGGGAAAGAGTCAGCCGGGACCCAGATCCCAACTCAGCCAGCCTGAACACGGGTGGGTGGGACAGACGGACGGACATACCTTCTTGGAGTGCACCAACTTCCCCCCTACCATCACTTCAAAGAAGCCGGTGGCCTGGGGAGTCCCCTCGCCGCACTGGGGAGAGAGAGATGCTGGGGGGCAGGGCTGAGATGCCCTCTTGGGGACACCCGCACCCCCAGAAAATGGGAGAACGGGGGGAAGGGGAGGGCCGACCCGAGGCTGAGGGGACACACAGGAGACCATCTCTGATGCTCTTCCCCATTCCCAAAACTCACGATGTCCAGGCATCCGGGGAACTCATCTTCTAACTTCTTCTTGAGCTGAAGATACTGAACAGGGCGTGCGAGGTCACGACGGGGGTCAACGGGGGCCGTGCCCGCTGGCCGTCCCGCCCACCCCCCTGGGACACGTCTGGGGGCTGCCACTCCACTTACCTTGGACTTGTAGCCTCAAGCACCACTGGTGGGAGGTCCGAGAGAGTGGGTCCCGAGGGAGAGGGGGAGCCGTGGGGATCCGGGGGAGGAGGGGAGAGGCAGGCAGCAGGGGGCCAGAGGGGAAAAGGGGGGTGGGGGGGGCGGGAAGACAAGAAGAGGTACACAGACGACAAAACCAAACAGGAGACAGAGAGGAGAGAAAAAGACACAGAGAATGTAGGAAGCAGCGCAGACATGGGGCGGGGGGGGGGGGGCGGGCAGGACAACAGAGGCAGGACACCCACCCACCAGGAAAACGAAAAAAGCAGAGCGACAGGGGGGGGGGGGGGCAGACATGGGGCGGGGGGGGGGGGGGGGGGCGTGCAGGGACACAGGAGGCAGGACACCCACCCACCAGGAAAACGACAGAGGCAGAGCGACAAGAGACAGGGGGCGCAGAAAAGGGGGGTGACGAAGAGAGACCACAAGTATGAGACACAGGCGGGAGGGAGGGAAGCAGAGAAACGGGTTAGGATCCGAACCTCGGAATCACCATCCCCACCCACAGCCCGTGGGCAGGGCTGGAGGATCAACCTTTACTCCTGGATCCCCAAGGTCCTCCCAGCCCTGAGGACGGGAGGCAAACGCTTCCCCACCCCCCCCACCCCCCCCACCCCCACCGCCGGCAGGCTATTTCTGGACTGGAGTCTGTAGCACACGCCTCCTGGGGACCTCAAAATGTCACTCCGCCCTCTGCTTTGCTGAGGGTGCGGGGCCCTTTCCAGCGCTGAGACTGACCTGAGCCTTCCAAAGCCAGCGGGTGCCCCTGGGCATTTCAGACTCGGGCTTCGGGCCTGACCCCACCCTCTCCCCGCCTCTCCCCTCACCTATAAACCAACACGGAGCCAAAATTCTCCTCCTTTCCAGAAGGAGAAATGCACCTAACAGGTATTTATTAAGCGCCTACACGCAGGCGTGTCTACGCAAGCCCGCCAGCACCACGGGCCAGCCCGGGGGGTGGGGGGGAATAACGCAGTCAACAAGGCACAAAGTCCCCTGTCCGCTCGGGACTCCTCCCCTGTAGCGGGGAAGCTGGATCAAACACGTTTAGCACCGATACCCGGCCCTCCATCCGTGGGGACTACTGAGATCACTCTCTTTCCCTCTGCAGGTGGGGAAACTGAGACTCCGAAAAGATGGGGCGGGTACTAGCGATGGGCAGCCGCAGTGTTCATTCCTTTCCAACCCACGCTGGAACATTCTCGAACCTTTCGGACTCTCGCGGTCCCCACCCCAGGGCTGTTCACCGCGTTGGGGGAGGGGCAACCTCAGCGTAGACGGAGGCCCGTCTCCCAGGACAAAACTGACCCTCTCCCCACCCGCAAGGGTCCCCGGAGTCGGATGTCGAAAATGACCACACGCGTGTCTCAGTTCCACCTTCGAGAACCTGAGCTTTCCTGAATGACACCCCCCGGGGAAATGGGTCAGCGCCCTTCCGCCTCGCCCTTCCACTCACGCCCACCCGACCCGCGGGGAACCCCGTATGTCGGGGAAGGATCCCCTTGGGGCCGGCCCCCAGCACCGTCGGGTCGAGGATGGAGTCGGGCGGGGAGTCGCGGAGGGGGCCTCTGGCCGTCGTGCTTACCAATAAACGACTCGGATGGCGAGGGCCATGGCTGGGGACCGCAGCATGCGCGGGGGCGGACAGACGACCCACGAGCGGCGCGCAGCGGCGAACCCCGCTTCCTCCCGGCGGCCGCACGAAGGTTGCTGCTCGGCGTTACACGGCGCGAACCAACGCGGGAGAACGGCGGGGGGAGACGGGAAGGGCGGGGGGGAGGCGGGCCCCGGGGCGGGGGTCCAAGGATCCTGCCTCCCGGCACCCTGAGCCCCCACGCGGGCTCCTCCCCTCCCCCGCTGGGCCCAGGATGCACCCAGGCGGGAGGAGTCCCTGGGGAAGCCCTGCGCGTCCCTCGCGGTCCCCCCGTCCGGGCCGGAATGGTATGGCCCGTGGGGCGGGGTTCTGGACCAGTGGCTCCGCGAACCAAAAGGAATTGCTAATAAGGGTGGTGGTTTTCCAGCGTCCGCCGGGAGGGGGCTGCTCTCTCAGGCCCCTTCACCCACCCACCCCCCAACCCCCCGGGAGAGGCTAGGAGGGCGGAGTCAGAAAGCCTCAGGGGTGTGCCGGGAAAGCCGGGTTTCCGGGAAGCGCGGCAGGGTCCCCCGCTTTCTTATTCACGCGTGGCGGTCGCTGGCGCTCTCCAGCCCTCTCCAAGGCAAGAGGTTCATGGAAGGGCTGGAAGCCAGCAGCTAGGGAAGGGATTAGAGCGTGGGAGCCTTTCTCTGAGCCTCAGTTTCTCTGTCTGGAAGATGGGCGCAGTCGCCTCCAAGGACTACTTACTCATTTAACCACTAGGTACCGCATACCTACGTGCAATCAGCAATCAATTCTACGATGGGAAAATAGACAAAATCCCTTCTCTAATGGGGGTGATTTAGCCTGCAGGGGGGTGGGAGCAGATAAGGGCGTTCAAGTGCGCGCGTTCACTGGGTTCCCACAGGTGGAAAGACTTGAGCGCCGGCACATGGAGATAGCTCAATAAAGGTGAACTCTGGCCTCGGTCTTCCTGCCCCACCTTCTGTCTCCGCCTCCAGGTCCTTGGTCCTCACCTGCGATAACCCTGCCCCTGTTGGCTGTGTGACTTCTGATCCCCATAGTCCCGGAAGGATATAATGAGCCTGTGATATAGGGGACTTAACACAGCGCTGGGTGCAACCAATGTCCCATAAATAGAGGGCTCTCTCGGTGGCTTCCAGAGCCCTCAGAACAAAACCCCAAATCTTGGCCCCATCTCTGTCTGCCTGGCCCCATCCCTCCCTTCTTGACCCTTTTTTCAGTGCCCTAGCCACACGGACCCCCTGCAATCCCACCTTGGACCTCACCGACTTTCCTGCCGCTGGGCCTTTGCACATGCTGTTTCTACCCTTTTCTGCTGCGGATTCCTGCTCATCCTCCAAGAATCAGCGCCAACATATTGTCACCAGCTAGACCCCAAGGCCTGACCTTGACTGCCCACCTGCGTGTACTCCTCTCCCTTCGTCCCACGTTTTCCCTTAAGCTTTTCTTTCCAGATGATCTCTTAACTCGGGCAAATGAAAAAGCAAAACCCCACCCCGGTGAGTGATAGCGACTCTCCTGACAAGACCTCCAGCCAGCCCAGACCACCAGACCGGTTTGAGCTTGACCCCTGACCCGTACCTGAGCAGGTGGATAATGGAGCGATCTCAAGAATGGCGGACAACTACCTTTATCTCATTATAATACTAGCCCCCTCGCCCAGCCAGGAGCACAAGCCTCATTTACACAACACACAATGTGTGTATTGGCATGTTGCTTAAGGCACAGGCAGAACCTTCTTCTGCCTGCCAGGACCAGGAGTCCCTATATAAACATTCGTCCTCACCCTCAACAAAAGGAATCCATGCCAGGGGAGTCACTTTCAGAAGCTATTTTCCGAGATCGCCTTATTTGCCGCAAATAAACTCTTCCTTGTGCGCAGGCTCACCCTGGTGCCATTTCTGGCTCACCAAGGAGCGAGCGCCTGAGGTTCACTTAAAATATTTTAGGGAAAATTGTGCTTCTGTGGAAAACTTGACCTTCTCCATGGTACATCTGTATCTGTTAGCGCTGCCTGTCGACACAGCGCATCGGACGCTGTGGCTTCAGCCACAGAGATTTCATCTCGAGGTTCCAGAGGCCGGAAGCTGGAGATCAAGGTGTCAGTAAGGTTGTGGGGAGGAAGAATCAGGCCCGCGCTTTCCCTCCAGCTTCCGGTGTTTTGCAGGCCATCCCGGTGGGGTGGTGGTGTTCCGTGTAAAAGCTTCACGTGGCGGTCTCTGGGGGGGGCTCAGTCGATTAGGCAGCCTCGGACTCTTTTTTTTTTTTAAATTTTTTTTAATGTTGTACTTATTTCTAGGAGAGAGAGAGAGAGAGAGAGACAGCGTGAGCAGGGGAGGGTCAGAGAGAAAGGGAGTCACAGACTGAAACTGGCTCCAGGCTCTGAGCTGGCAGTCAGCACAGAGCCCAACACGGGGCTCGAACCCACGAACCGCGAGATCATGACCTAAGCGAAAGACAGACGCTTAACCAACTAAGCCGCCCAGGCGCCCCAACCTCAGACTCTTGATTTCAGCTCAGGTCATGGTCTCAAGGTTGGGTGCAAGTTCGAGCCCCGCCTCGCGCTCCTCACTGACTGTGTGGAACCTGCTTGGGATTCTCTCTCTCTGCCCCCTCCCCTGCTCACACTCTCTCTCAAAACAAAAAAGTAACAAACAAGTAAATAAACAAATAAATGCATCGCATGTATCTCTCTCTTCATCTTCACATACCAGTGTGTGTGTGTATGTGTCCCCAAATTTCCCCAGTCTTTTTTTTTTTTTAATGTTTTATTTATTTCTAGGAGAGAGAGAGACAGCGTGAACAGGGGAGGGTCAGAGAGAGAGGGAGTCACAGACTGAAACAGGCTCCAGGCTCCGAGCTGGCAGTCAACACAGAGCCTGACGTGGGGCTCGAACCCACGAACCGCGAGATCATGACCTAAGCGAAAGTCAGACGCGTAACCGGCTAAGCCACCCAGGCGCCCCTTTAATGTTTATTTTTAAGAGAGAGCGAGCGCATGAGTAGGGGAGGGGCAGAGAGAGAGGGAGAGGGAGAATCCCAAGTAGGCTCCACGCTGTCAGTACAGAGTCCGACGCCGGGCCTCGAACTCACAAGCCATGAGATCATGACCTGAACCGAGGTCGGACGCCTAACCGACTGACCCCCGGGTGCCCCGTAAGCGGATTTAATTTGACCTACCATTTCCTTCTTTCTTTGTTCCCGCATCACTATGGAAGGAAGAGCGATGTTGGGGTTCAGGAAACGGAGGCCATAGGTTTCTGGAGATGAGGTTACTGACAAGATTGCCTCTTTCTTGTCAGTTACCAATATTCTAAACTGATGGACACACTGATCTCTGGCAGGTACAGTATTTGGTTTGCCCTTTCCTTTGTGCTTGGGCAGCCCGGAGCGCGTGATGACACACAGATCCCACCCTGGGGGTGGGGGTGGGGCAGGTGATTCTAGATTGTTCTTTGCCCTCAGCGTCCACAGCGCCTCCGCAAATGGTGTGCCTCCGTTTGAACATTTGCTTCAACAGAGCTGCGCGCGTGTCTGCTCTTCGATCCTGCTCCGAGCCGGTCGTCACGCCTGACCAGTGCAGACTCCAGGCTCCCACACAACGTTTGCTTTTAGGTTTGTATGAGTCGTGATTTTCCCTTTTTATTTTTTCCCCCAAACTTATCTTGTAACGGCTCGGTCCTCTCCGACGCCCTCCTGAGCCCCTCGCCCGGGGTCACAGTCCCCTGGGGGCTTCCACATCTGTGCCCTGACTAATCCTTCAGTCACAGGTTCGGCCCCCACTGGCTTTCCCGGCACCCCGGGGACGTGGCCAGCCTCAGAAGCTCCGGGAGTGTTTGTTGGCGAGGCTTTGGGTGGAGAACTTGCAGAAGCCTCAAGAAAAGAGGAACCCTCCCCCCCACTTCTGCCCTAAGAACAAAGAGGTCTTTGTTGAACAGCAGTGCAGGAGGCTGCAGGAATTAGTAATGACCCTTCGGCTGGGAGTCTCTCCCTCCCTCCGTCCCTCACACACACACACACACACACACACGCACGCACGCACGCACACGCGCGTGCGCTCCAGTGTGGCCCACACCTAGGTCCAGGGAACATGCAGAGAGTGGACGTGGGTCCTGTCTCCTGGGGCTCACATTACTGCTGGGGGGAGGGGAGACGGACAAAGGGAAAAACATAAACAAATGCGTGTTCCGTGAGGGCGCAGTGAGGGCTGGGAAGGAAAATAAAGGCAGGAAAGGGTGGTAGGCAGTGCCGGGCAGAGAATTTTGTAAACAGATCAAGGAAGGCAGCTATGGGGGCGCCTGGGTGGCTTGGTCGGTTGGGCGTCCGACTTTCGCTTGGGTCATGATCTCGCGGTTCGTGGGTTCGAGCCTCGCGTCGGGCTCTGTGCTGGCTGCCAGCTCAGAGCCTGGAGCCTGTTTCAGTCTGTGGCTCCCTCTCTCTCTGACCCTCCCCTGCTCACACTGTCTATCTCTCTCTCTCTCTCCTGGAAATAAAAATAAAAATATTTAAAAAAAAAAAAAAAAAAAAAAGGAAGGCAGCTATGTAATTCCTGAGACCAGCCAGGGGCGCCTGGGGGCTCAGTCGGTTGAGCCTCCTACTCTTGATTTTGGCTCAGGTCGTGATCTCATGGGGTCGCAAGATCGAGCCCCGCGTTGGGCTCTGCACTGACAGCCTGGAACTTGTTTCCGATTCTGTGTCTCCCTCTCACTCTGCCCCTCCCCGCTCGTTCCAGGTCTCTCTCAAAATAAATAAATAAACTTAAAAAAAAAAAAAAAGAGCAGCCAGCCCTTAAAGAGGCATGAGCTGCGATGATCCCATTTTACAGACGGGCAGACTAAAGGCATTCACCTGAGGTCACCCAAAGCATAGAGCAGGGCTTGTGACCCCAGCTGTCTGGCTGCAGAGCCTACACTCGGAGCGGCCTTCCTGTGGGCCAGATGGGTGGGGCAGGGGGCCGTTGTTAGGGACCCCAAAAGCTCAGAGGTGTGAAGGAGGCCGGAACTTCTGAAGGTCCAGGACAGCCAGCTTCTGCCTTATCCCTGCCCCCGGGGAAGATCTGCTCTGAGGCTTTGTGTCCAATGTCCCCTGGAGCGTGATGGGCCAA